CACTTTCTTGGTCCTTCAGAACCACTGAGGAAAGAAGGTCCCTGGGTGATGTAAATGTTTGCTTGCTTTGCTAACCAAAAAGGCTATGTCTCCAGGCAGCCCTTTGAATCCATCAGTGGCTCCACAGGAGGAAGACAGGCAGTCTTTGAAAATTCAAGGGCGTTTTCAACTTGAAGAAGTGGATACTTCCTACTTGAAGGCAGTGGATACTAACCCACTTAGGCAGGCACCTTGGAGTTGAACCAGCTTGGTACCACTGCTGAAGAAAAGCTTGGTAACATGGTTTTGTAAAGATTAGACAGAAACTCAAACATGCTGCTTGCTGCTCGGTGGGTTTCTGCTTTTGGGGAATCGACTGCCCATCTTTCACCACTAAGGTGTCTGGGTTTGGGTTGTTGTTGTTGTTGTGTGCCATAGAGTTGCTTGCGGTTCATAACTACCCTATGTATAATAGCTCTGAAATTTGCTCTATCCTGTGCCAACATTACTGTCTCTGACACACCTACCCTCATTACCTCAATCACTCAATCAATCCATCTCATTGATCGTCTTCCTCTCTTTCTCTGTTCCTCCACCCTTCCCAGCATGATGTCCCTTTCCAAAGACTGGTCCCTCCTTTCAACATGTTCAAAATATGTCAGACAAAGCCTTGCCTCCAAGGAGCAGCCTGTTGTTATCCTCTCTAGGACAAACCTGTTTTTTTTCTAGCAGTCAATGGTAAATTCATAACTCTTCTCCAGCACCACAGCTCAAAGGCATAAATTCTCCTTCCATCTTCCCTTATCATTGTCCTTCTCTCTGATGCATAGTAAGCAATTGTGAAGACTGTGGTCTGGATCAGGCACACCTTAGTCTCCAGACTGATGTTATTGCTTGTCAGTACTCTGGAGAGGTTCCTGACAGTCAACTTTCCCTATGCAATTCATCTTTTTTATTTTCTGGCTGCTGGTCCAAGAGCGTTAATTGTGGAGCCAAGCAAACTAAAGCTGTTAACAATCTCTATCACTTCACCATCTATCACGATGCTGCCAGTGGTAAGAATCTTTGTTTTCTTGATGTTGAGCTTCCTTGACCTTCTGCAGCAAGTGCTTCAGGTCCTTAGCAGTTGAATTCTCTGCCACCATTGAAAATTCTGTAGAGGGAGAAGTTCTATTCTGAAATATATGACATCTCCAGGAATCAGAATCTTTCAGGACAACACACTTGGTTTGGTTTTTGTGCATTAGCTGGCTTATTTTTTCCAGAAAGAGATTGGTTGAATATTTAGAAGGGTTAAGCCTTGGATAGATGCTAAGTATATGGGACTGACGGTTTCCAAGATTTTAAAAACATGAATTTTTACCATTTATATTTCCAAAGGCATGCAGTCCTAATCAACCAGCTGTGGAGAAGGAAGGGCAACCTTCTCTTGTGATTTACGACCTCTGAAAACTCGCTGGAGGGTTAGCTATTGGTGGGTTCCAACTCAAAGCCACACAACAACAACTATTACTTTATATGTAAAGTGTATACATGTTTAACTGTACTAATATCTATCTTAAAAGACACTTAAAATAGAAATATAAACAAGATAAAGAGAAAAATTATAAACAATGACCCTTATTTATTACAAATAGAGTATTTTGGCTTTCCAAAATTATTAATTTTAGCATATCCAGGTGAAAGCCATGTGACTGAATAAGCATGATGATTTTGGTTTTTTCCTTAACTGTGTTTTTCATCTGAGTGAATGTTAACAAATCGTATTAGTTTTTTATTCACTCACTCATTTTATTTTTATAACATTAGTGACAAAGGATGACATCAGTGCGAAGACTAGGTGTGCCTGATCCAGGCCATGTTCTTTTCAATCACTTGCTATGCATCCGAGAGCTAGACAATAAGTAAGAGTGACAGAAGAAGAATTGAAACCTTTGAGTTGTGTTGGATGAGAGCGCTGAATAGCCTATGGATGGCCAAAATAACAAACAGATATGTCTGAGGAAAAGTGCAGCCACAGTGCTCCTTGAAGGCAAGGATGGTGAAGTTTCATTTCACACACTTTGGAAATGTTGCTAGCAGAGGCTATTCCTTGGAAAAGGAGATCATGTTTAGAAAGGTGGAGGGTAGGCAAAGGTCCCCAACAAGGTGGATTTTTTACATTGTGACTAATGCAATGAGTCTAGTGTCTCAGAGATGATGAGGATGGCACAGGACAGAAAATTATTAAGGTCTATGAGCTTCAGGTCTCATAGGGTTACCATGAGTCATACTTGACTTGATGGCAACTATTAACAACAACAACAACAATAACAAGAACAATTAGTTAATTAATGGATTAATGTCATTAATTCATTACAGCAAAGTTTGATTACACATTGTAATATATTATTATTATTTTGAAAATTATGCTCTAATAGTGTGCTTTAGCCATGTGATGATTCAGTTATAAGCTGAGTTCATTCTGGTCATCCTTGGTTTTAATGATAGAGTGGAAAGAGATCAATCATACACTTAACACATGGGAAACTCCCGCATTCCAGTGGAAGAAATGAATCACTGATGGACTCATAAAATCTGACTTGTTTAGGCAAATTTCACCAAATTAGAAAAGGTCCTTCCTCCTCTTCTTTCTTTTATTCTAAGTAAGTGAGAAATCACAAGCCTCACTGTCATTTCACCCAGGTGGTTTAGAAGCTGGTGGAGCCCGAAGTTGCAGAGAGATAGATGATTGGTTGGTTTTGATTTCTAAAGTAAAGATTCCCCCTCTGCTTACCCTGATTAAAAATGAGACAAACTTCTACATTCATATTTTGCCACAGGAGAGTTTTGTAGGATTTTCCCTGAGAAGTACATATGTCACATCACACATGGAGTTATTTTTGGGTTGGGTTTTTTTTTTATCTCTTGGTGAGCAGGAAGGATGGGCTCCAATTAAACCTTTGTTACTACCAAACTTTGGTTCTTTCTCTTCTAATACAGAATGTTAAGAATGAAAACTTAATAATATGGGTGGTACTTGATATAACTGAATTCTACACCTGAAAAATGTTGACCTGGCACATGGTGTGATATATACTCTTTCATATACAAGAACAATAATTACGATTTTAAAAGCATAGGTCACATGGCAAGTGCTCCATCACAATGATAATAATTTTTGGAAATAAAATTTGGGTGTTTTTTTTTTAGAGGGTGAAACCAGGTTTCTCAGTGGAGGCTAGGATTTTGAAGCTCCATCTCACATACTTTTGGTACTTCATCAGGAGAGACTGGTCCTTGGAGAAGGACATCATGCTTGGAAGGGTGGGCAGACAATGAAGGAGAGGGAGACCCCAAAGGAGATGCATTGATACAGTGACTGGGGCAATGGCGGTTGGTGTGTTGGAATTAGTGTGACTGGCTCAGGACAGGGAAAGGTTCAGAGCTGCTGATCTGTCGGGTCGCTATGGGTTGCAGGCGACTCGACAGCACATAACAACAAGAACAACAAACCAAAGTTGATCTTGTGAGGGAGTTAAATGGAAGGATAGTGTGAGAATGGCCCTATTGATACATTTCTTACAAATGACTGGACAGGACCAAGTTGTCCAACACTATGAAGAATGGAGAACTAAGAGGAGCATATCATAACATCTTCCTTGTGCTTTTGGGCTTGTTTTTGGTTGTTTTCTCTTTCCTCAACTATACCAGAGAAGCCGACATGTCTGACCATTTAGCAATCTTCCTTTCAAGCCATAACTGTTCTAGGCTTTGGCAGAGATGGCCTCTGGGATGTACATCTTAGGAAGGACTAGACTTAGCTCAGCAGAGGCTTATCTGTAGGACCCAGAGCTGGGTGTGAACAGGGTCAGATTGCATTAAGAGGAACTTGTTTTTCAAAGAGCAGTGGAGTGGGTGTATGTAGGTGGGGAAGCTGTACTACCGCTGCTTCCAAGGGCCTGTGTTAGAAGATGTAAAATAGGAATGCAAAGAGAAGGACAAGGAGACTTGTTAACAAAGAGAAAAAAATGGAAACATCATCAACATACACGGCAAGGTTTTAATAACCAGCCCATATTCAAAACTAGGGAGTTCTGGTGGCCTACAGGTGAGAGAAGCTGCACTGCAATTCCAGAAGCACGTGATTTGACTAGCCACTGCACAGGACAAGGAAGAATAATCTCCTCCCATGTGATTTCTTGTCTCTGAAAACCTGCTGGAGGGTCAGCTACGAGTTAGTTCTGACTTCACAGCATCTAACAACAGCAGCAGCAACAACAACAACAACATATCCAGAACTATAAATCATTTTGAGAAGGAAAACACCTTACTAAAAGCATATAGATAATATGAAAAAGTAATTTACAGGATGTGAATTCAGTTGAAAAATAAACTCACAAAATTATTTTAACTTTTCTTATTACAAAAAGAAAGAACACTAGTGGAGTAGTGAGTAGCATGGTACTAAGTAAATGGTTCAAACCCACAAGTTACTCTGCAAGAGAAAGATAGGCTGTTTCCTGTTAAGAGTTACAGCCTCAGAAAACCCAACGGAAAGTCACTATGAGTCAGACTTGACTTGGTAGTTCTGAGGGAAGATGTATTAAAAAAAGGCAATATGACTTATCCTGTTGATGTGGGTGCAAATGATCATTTTTTGAGAGCCATTTGGTAACACATATTCATATTAAAATGTTATAACCTTTGAGTCATCATTTCCACTTAGAGTGGGAATTTAGAGAAACAGTCCCTTCTTATGTGCAAAAAATAAGTACAAGAATATCTATTAAGGTCTTATGTATACTAGTGAATATTGGACTAATGCTATAATTATTAAATAAGCAACTCTGTGTTATGGGGTAGAACTTTACCATAGGGTTTCCTTGGCTTTAGTTGACAGAGTTGTTATGAGTGGAGTCAACTGGACAGAAGTGGGTTTAATTTTTATTTTTGATCTTTACAGAGGCAGATTTCCAGGTCTTTTGTCTGAGCACCACTGAGTAGGTTTAAACTGCCAACCAGCCAAGTGCAAAATATTCATGCCACACAGGGACCTGAGATCATTATTTGTGGAAGGTACTGTTACAGACAAAGATGAAAACAAGCTTGTTTTTTTCATTAAACTTATAAATTATTGTTAAATCTATAACAGGAAATAACCAACTATGTGATACTCACTGATCATGGATGTCCATAAGTCTGGGTTAGTCTCCTATGAGACAAAATATTCCTGAGAAAACATTTCAGCAGAGACCTGAAAGGACAAGAACAAAGACAGATAGTTTGGACAAGAGTATTCAGATGAAGATCTGAAAAGGATCAAAGTTCAGGGGTGGAAAGGAAAGGACATGTTTGAGGAGCAGAACAAGGCAGAGTGGAAGGGACAAGGAGATCTGCAGACTGTCTGTCCATCTGTCCGAATGCTCTCTGCACTTCTTACTTGTTCATCTCATGGAATCACTAGGAGGTTTTTTCCTAAGTCTTAGGTAGGCCCTAGGCCTTCTTGCTCAATGACTTTGTCCTAGAGATAAAGACGTTGATGTCCACAGATGGGAATGGTTTCCCCAGAAAACAGGGTTGTGGTGCGACTGGACCTTCAAGTGCATTTTCCACAGTGAAATCAAGGGTGATTTGAGGAAAGAAGACAAAGAAACCAAGAGGGAGAGTGAGATATTTTTCAGGGGTTAATACCTGAGGGAAGAGTCCGACATCCAGATTCCTACAGCTCAAAGGAGGCCATGAGAAAACTCCTAAATTCCTCTACTATCCCAGGCAAGATGCTTCTTTAAGCCCTGTTCAACAATTTCTTGTTGGTGCTCTTTCTTATTGAGGCATTACTTTCTTGTTTCTCTGAATTATTTCAGTATATTCTCTGTTGTTGTTGTGTACTGTCGAGTAGCTGACTCTCTGGCAGGTTTTCAGAGACTTGTGATCTGTGTGGGAAGAGATTGCCCATCCTTCTCCCATGGAACAGCTGGTGGATTTAAACATGTCCCTTTGGGATTGCACTGCAGCTTCTTGCCACTAGGCCACCAGTGCTCTATATACGCTGTTAGGGATTTGAATTCACTTGTGGAAAAGCTAGTATACAATAGATGTTCCACAATACTGTCTTCTCATTGTTTCATGAAGTATTCCCTATCTCCTCTTTTACACACACACACACACACACACACACACACACACCCCTTACACTCGTTCTCTCACATTAGATATTGAGTCTTCATTTAACTAGTATTATTTGCTTGCCCTCACTCCTTTTTTCTTTGGATCCCCCTTTAGGATCTCATTCTCTACAGTATTTCTACACGGCTGTATCAAAGCCAAGCCCAGGAGTGCCTGCATTTACGGCATCTGGCTTTGTGGATGACCAACTCTTCATCTACTATGACAGTGTAGACATGAAGGCAAAGCCTTTTGCTCCCTGGTTGACTGAGGATTCAGATTACTTTGATGATGAGACCACAATCTTCAAAAATAGAATGAAGATTTTCCACTTAAATTTGAGAAATGTGCAGCAATACTACAACCAAACCTTTGGAAACAGGCTAAACAAAGAGAATTCCCAAAAGCCAGAAGGTAAGTGATGGTAAGCAAACACTGGGAAGCAGTTCACCCATCACCATGCTCCAGCACACTTGGGTGGGTGACCCTCTGGGTAAGCATTTCCCATAGGGTCAGTTTGGAGGCAGAGAATGTTTGTACCATTGGAACTAAGTGTAGACCCCTCTCTACTGCAAAGCTACAAGGAAAGAGTGAGGGGGAGCCAACTAATTTGTGTAGAGTGCAGATATCACCTAAGGGGAAATGAGAGCTTCGGTAGGGTAGGATGAGGGCTCTGGGACCAGTGACGAGGTAGCCCTGATGTGTTTGTTCCCTGATGTTACTGACCCTGTTTGGTTCTGCATGGGGTGGACAGGTCACACCCTCCAGTTCACCTATGGCTGTGAGCTCCTGAGTGATGGCAGGACCATGGGGCACTGGCAATATGGCTATGATGGTGATGACTATCTGAGCTTGAACATGGACCATCTGCAGTACACAGCCATCACATTTATCGCCCAGTACACCAAGCACAAGTGGGAGTCCAATGGGAACTCTGCACAGCGAGACAAGATTTATTTGGAGAATGAATGCATCAGGTGGCTTAAGAGGTACCTGGAATGTGGACGAGAGAGCCTGACTCGAACTGGTAATGACCTCTCACTCTTCATCCATCCATTCCTCTCTCAATCCCTAGCCGGCTCCCTTCTGTCTCTGGAGGGTGGGGAACCACTGTCCCAGAGTTAATCCAGGCCAGGGATGCAGGCTATCTATTCTAGGATGGCTCGGACCAACATGTTAAAGATGACTTCTCTACAAGCAAGAGATGTGGATTTGGAGCACTTCCCATGTTGAGTTTCCTACTCAGCGCTAGTGGCTGAGAGCTATTGAACTTGTTTCTCAGCACTTGGAGGGTTCTCACACTTTTAGTAATTTTCCCTAAATCCCTGAGTGATTCAAAAGGTTATAAAGTGTTCTATGACTAACGAGTTGGCTGCTTGAACCCACCCAATGATGCTATGAAAGAAAGGACTATCCATCTGCTTTCTTAGTGGTCATTGCCAAGAAAACTCTGCGGGACAGGTCTATTCTTTTTTTTTATTATTAATTTATTTTGTTTCTTTTTCATTTCAATGAACATCTACAGAGATTTTGGAATTCCATTCATTCATTGTTGCACCCTTCTCCCCGCACAAACCCCCCCCCCCCCCCCCCCATTTGCTCCTCTCCTTGAAAAACAAAAGAAAAACTCCCTCATTGGTACACAATCCCCCCCGTACCTCCCCAAACCCCACCCCCTACCCCCAAATATAATCCACTCTGCAACCCTCATTGCATACTCCTACGGGACAGGTCTATTCTGTAGCACCTCCTGGCCAGGAGGTTGCCATGAGTCCGGCTGAAGACACTGGTACTGAGTTTGGATTTGGTTGGCTATAAAGACTGTGAAGCAGTGTGTGATGGCAGCATCTAACTTCCACTACTGACTGCAATGGAGAAAAGTCTCCAACACAATATCAACACAAAACCAATTCTTATGAGGTCAGATGTATCCCTATGCTCCCGCATCCACTTCTAGCAATTCTAACACCAACTGTCCCTCCAAGGGCTCTTAATTATCTATTACTAGGTCTGCTAATCTATTACAATGGCCACACAAAACTCACAGACAACGCTCGTGATTGTGGAGTTTATTAGGTAAGTTAATAGACTGCAGTTCAGGTTGGAAACAGGATACAATTCTTCAGTCAAGATCACTTGCAGGCCCTCTGATCTTCAGCTTCTTTGGGCTCTGCCTCATAGCTTTGGGTATTATATAGCTCTTTTTAGTTCTGCTATAATTAGCATCTATTCCTCCACAAGCAAGCCTATGCAAAAGACCATCGGCTCTGGTACTTGGGGTGACAGTTCTACTTCAGCTCTGTCTCATGTTGGACTCTCGTCATCTTTGCTGCTTCTGTTGCTGATGCTCTAGTATTCTGGGTCTCTCTACAGCTCTGAAATCTCTGGCCCAAAACAACACACTGCACTCTCTGCTTCTTCTGTCTTAATAGTAGCAAAAGGCCTGCTTTCTGTCACTGAACCTGCTCAGTTTAAACTTGGTAGAATGGCAAACCTCCCTTCTAGTAGTCTATGACCCTTTGAAAGGTGCTCTTTTCCTTATTGACATGATTAGCAAGCTGTCAGTTTCCTCAGTAGGGTCATAAACACTTCATATTTGTAGAGTACTATACTCGATGGCATTTAACAACAACCACCACCTCCAGCAATGTGGTGAAAGCCATATGTTGGGAAAACCAAACTGAACAATCAAATTGGCCCTTTCCCATTAGAGAAAGAACAGCACTGGTTACCTAGAAACATTTATTTGGGGAAATTGACGAACAGCTTGATAAATGGGAAGAGATGTGTGGAGACTCCCTTCCTCTGGAGAGTATGATTGCACTCAAGGATCTCTTCCAGGATCTCTTTTCTAAGATTAGGCTGAGTTCCCTGTAGACCCTGCCTAGAGGTGTTCTCTGCCTACAAAGGCTGGCAGCCGTTCCCTTCGTCAGCCCACTAGGAGTTCATAGCATCCTGGTCTTTGAAGTAGATGCTACTCAACAAGCCTTCTCCTAAACCTTCACTGCTTTCTCCACTACAGAGCCTCCAAGCACACATGTGACTCATCACCCCAGCCCTGATGGGGAGGTCATGTTGAGGTGCTGGGCCCTGAGCTTCTACCCCGCGGAGATTACCCTGACTTGGCAGCAGGATGGAAATAACCAGACCCAGGACATGGAGCTTGTGGACACCAGGCCTGCAGGGGATGGGACCTACCAGAAGTGGGCAACTGTGATAGTGCCCTCTGGAGAGGAGCAGAAATACACGTGTCATGTGCAGCATGAGGGGTTACCTGAGCCTCGCATCCTGAGATGGGGTAAGGAGTAGAAATTAGACTAGGGCAGTACATCATAGGGAAATAGAGAAGCCCTTCTGGGAACCCCAGCAGGGTCAGCTCACTCCTAGGTTAGGGTCACTCACTTTTCCTTTCCTTCCCTTCTCAGAGTCACCTTCTCAGCCCACTGTCCCCACTGAAGTATCATTTGCTGCCTACATTATCGGAGGGGTTACATTTTTAAGTCTTTTAATGGTTGGATGTTCCATTGTGTACCTGAAGTATAACTATTCAGGTAGAAAAGGTGGGTTCTCAGTTTTTAATTTTGACACTAGGGTATCTCGGCCCAACTCCTGCCCCTGTTACTTCTGGAGCCAATTTGGAAACTCTTTTTGGCAAGTAAACTCTGTTGGCCAGCCAAAAGACTCTTGGCTTCAGATAAGCTGGGAGGCTGGAGACCTATTGGACTCCTAGTGGCCCCTACACCACAGGGAAGAGATGTCCTCGTGGTTGTGGACTCTAGGATCTTGAACTAAATTAATGTGAGCTCTAGGAAGTACCAAAGTGCTTGGGAAGTGGGTGTCTTAGAAAGAAATCCCTGAGTTCTGTTTTAAGTTCATAAATTTCTTCTAGGCAGTTAAGAGGAAGAAATAAGATTCCCAAACTCAGTTGGCAAATCTGAAGTGAGTGTGTAATGTATGCTTGTATGTGTATGTGTGTGGGTTTGTAAATGTAATTTGTATATACATGTATATATAAGCATATTTGGTTGCATGTGTGAGTCTTTGGGAATCGAATCACTAAAGCTTCATAAGATGAGACCTGGACAGCAAGCAATCTCATTTTATAGACAAGAAAATTGGGGCTGCAGAGAGGTTCAGTTTAAGTGACTCTCAGACCCCTAGAATCAGAGAAACAGTCTAATTGCTGAGCCCAACTCCCACGCCCTATCTATTTACCTCTTTAAGAATCCTCTCTTGTGAGGTCTAACTAGCTTCCCTTTCTGTCCAGGTACCAGGACTGGTCGAGAGCACAGGACATTTCTCAGTCCTTTAAGGTGAGTCTAGGGGATTGCCAGTGGAGGTAAACTGGCAGGGGGCTGCCCCACATTCTGTGCCTGCCCCACACTGGGGTCCTTCTCTATCACCGCAGCCAGCACCAGGCCAGGAGGATGAGGGGGTACTGTACAGGTGGACCAGTTATCTCACAGGTTGGCAGACCTGTTGGTTGATTTTAGATAACAGGATCCTGTCTTGCTATGATTCACAGGATAATGCTTGCAGATGGTTTGTGAAATTAAAGCCCATTCTGCAGACAATACAAGCATGGAATTAATTATTGTCTGATTGAAAGTGGTCAATGCCAGTCCATATCAGTTTGCTAATACCTAGAATGTTGATCTTTATATGTCCCATTTTATTTTTGACAACTTCCAATTTACTAGACTCCTAATTTGTACTTTTCATGTTCCAATTATTAATGGATATTTGCAGCTGTTACTCCTCATTTTTAGTGTCTTCCACTCTAAGAGCTCAATGTTTAGTACTAAGTCTAACAGGGGGAGCTCTGGTGGCCTAGTGACAAGAAGCTGCTCTGCAATCCTGAAGGCGTGCAGTTTGAATCCACCAGAAGCCTGCCAGAGAAGGAGGGGCAATCTCTTCCTGTACTAGTTGGGTCTGATTCGATAGTACACACACAAAAAAATAATAAAGCAAAAATATAAGTAAAAAGAATTAAGTCTAGCAGGGTTTCTCTGCTGTTCACAGGACTTTCAAAGGCCACTTATTTCAGAAGTGGATGGCTAATCCTTCTTCTTCTTCTTTTTGTTAGTGGAGTTGAATATGACTCATAGTGACCCTATGCACAAAAGATCTGAATCCTGTTCTATCCTGTACCATCTTCACTCTTCCTGACACAGAAGAGCCCATTTGTGGTAGTCACCATATCAATCCACCTGAGGGTCTTCCTCTCCTTCTCTGACCCTCGGCCTTTTCCAGCATCATGTCCCTCTGTAAGGAATAGCCCCTCCTAGCCACATGTCCAAAGTATGTGAGGCGAAGCCTCATTATTCTTGCCTCCAAAGAGCACTCCAGCCTGAACCCTCTCCAAGACAAATTGGTTTGTCCTCTTGGCCCTCCATGGGATGTTCAGTGTTCTTCTCCAACCCCACAGCTCAAAGGTATTAATTCTTCTGTCATAGCTCTCAGATGCATAGCAAGTAATCAGAAAGACCATGGCCTGAATCAGACGAACCTTAGTCCTTAAGGTGAGTGACATCATTACACCTCAATATTTGGAGAGGTCCCTAACTACAGGTTTTCCCAGTGCAAGGCATCTCCTTATTTCCTGCCTGTTGACACCAAGGATGTTAATTGTAGATCCAAGCAAAATGAAGCTGTTGACAGTTTCAATCTCCTCTCCATCCATCATGATGCTGCCTTTTGGTCCAGAATCTATCTTCTTGACATTGAGATGCAGTGCATACTGAAGGCTGCATTCCTTGATCTTCTGCAACAAGAAGTCACTTTCAGCAAGCAAAGTTGTGTCATCTGCATAGTGCAGGTTATTGATGAGTCTCTCTCAGCTTCTCTTATCATTTGCTCCACATACAGGTATGAATAGGTATGGAGAGAAAATACAACCCTGATACACTCCCTTCTCAACTTTAAACCAAGCACTGTTACCATTCCCAAGAAAGATGATCTAACTGAATGTGGAAACTATTGAACAATATAATTAATATCACACACAAGCAAAATACTGCTGGAGAGGTCCCTGACAGTAGATTTTCCCAGTGCAATTCTTCTTTTGATTTCCTGACTGCTGGTGTCAAGAGTGTGGAATGTTGAGCTGAGCAAGCTGAAGCTGTTAACCTCATCCTCTTCTCCATCTATCATGATGCTGCCAATTGGCCCAGTTGTGAGAATATTTGTCGTCTTGATGTTGAGATCATATTGAAGACTACAGTCCTTGACATTTAGCAGCAAGCACTTCAGGTCTTCTTCAGTTTAAGCAAGCAAGGTTTTGTCTTTTGTCATCTGCATAACATTGTTATAATATTTTGCTTTATCTTCTTGAGCTGCCTCTGAAATATTCTATTTATCTCTTTTACTTTGGCATCTCTTAATTTTGTTTTGGCTTCTTGATTCTCTAATGCAATTTTCATACTCTCTTCTGACATCCATTTTGGTCTCTTATTTTTCCTCCTTCTTTGTAATGACCTTTTGTTCTCTTCCTGGATGATATTTTGATGTCCTCCCACAGTTTCTCTGGCCTTCTATCAATAGTGTTCAATGCCTCAAACATGTTCTAAAATTCAACTGGGATAGATTCAAGGCCATATTTTGGGTTCTGTGGACTAGTTTTCATTTTCTTCAGCTTGAATTCAAGATACTAAAGACTGAATAGAATATTCCAAAAGACAGCACAGGATGACAAAGCAAAATATTACAATGAAATGTGCAAGGAGCTGGAGTCAGAAAATTAAAAGGACTGAACTCACTCAGCATTTCTTAAGCTTAGTGAACTGATGAACAAATTCAAACCTCGAGTTGTTATAATCAAGGATGCTTTAGGCAGAATATTAAATGACCCAGGAAGTATTAAAAGAAGATGGAAAGAATATACAGAGTCACTGTATCGAAAGGAATTGGCAAACACAGAAGAATTTAATGAAACAACATATGAGCAAGAGCCTATGGTGATGAAGGAAGAAGTTCAGGATGCTTTGAAGGGAATAACAAAAAATAAGACCCCAGGAATAGATGGTATACCAATTGACATATTTCAGCTAACAGATGCTGCCCTGGACGTGCTCACCAAGTTGTGCCAAGAAATCTGGAGAACAACCACTTGGCCAACTGACTGGAAGAGATCTATATTTGTTCCCCTTCCAAAGAAGGGTGACCCAACAGAGTGTGGAAACTATAAAACAATATCATTGATTTCACATGCAAGCAAGATTCTACTGAAGATTATCCAGAAATGACTGGAACAGCACATCAGCAGAGAACTGCCAGAAGTCCAGGCTGGGTTTAGAAGGGGTACGGTACTAGGGATATTGTAGCTAATGTTAGATGGATCTTAGCTGAAAGCAGGGAATACCAGAGGAATGTCTATCTGTGTCTCATTGATTATGCAAAGGCGTTTGACTGTGTGGATCATAACAAACTGTGGCTGACTCTGAGATGATTGGGAATTCCAGAACACTTGATCGTGCTAATGTAAAACTTACACTTGGACCAAGAGACAGTCGTCAGATCAGAGCAAGGAAACACTGCATGGTTCAAAATTGGGAAGGATGTATGCCAGGGATGTGTCCTGTCTCCATACCTTTTCAACCTGTATGCAGAACAGATTATCCAGGAGACTGGGCTCTATGAGAAGTGTGACATCAGGATTGGTGGAAGATCCATCAACAATCTGCGTTATGCAGATGACACAACTCTGCTTGCTGAAACTGAGGAGGACCTGAAGAGCTTGCTGCAGAGTCAAGGACTACATCCTTCAATGTGGATTGAGGCTCAATATAAAGAAGACGAAGATTCTCACCACTGGACCAATTGGCAGCATCAGGATGGATGGTGAAGAGATTGAGACTATTCACAGCTTTAGTCTGGTTGACTCCACAGTCAACACTCTTGGCACCAGCAGCCAGGAAATTAAAAGACGTATTGCTATGGGAAAGTCTGCTATTAGGGACCTCTCCAGAGTACTGAAGAGTAATGGTGCCACTCTGGAGACTAAGGTGCACCTGGTACAGACCATGGTCTTTGCAATCACTTGTTATGCATCAGAGCATTGGACAATGACTAGGGAGGACAGAAGGAGGGTTAGTGCCTTTGAGCTGTGGTGCTAGAAAAGAATATTGAATGTACCATGGACTGATAAGAAAACAAACAGATTCATTCTGGAGGGGGTTAAACTGGGCGGCAAGGATTCTGAGGCTTTTTCTGACATACTTTGGACATGTGAGGAGGGACTGGTCCTTGGAGAGGGACATCATGCTTGGGGAGGGTGTAGGGACAGTGCAGGAGGGAAAGGCCCTCTATGAGGTGGATTGATTCAGTGACTGGGGTAATTGGATTGGGTGTATCGGAGGCAGTGCGATCGGCACAAGATTGACCATGGTCACTGTGAGTTGCAAGTGACTCGACGGCACATAACAACAACAACGAGTCACAAGCTGACCCAAAAGAAATATAAATTGTGAATTGACATGACAAACTATGTTGCCCCTGCAATGTGTACATAAACAAGATAATGGGGAAGATAGGGACAAGAGGAGATAAGACTTGGGCAACATGCAGGGGAAAATGTACACCCCTTAGTACTCAGTTCCTGAGGAATTAGGGGAGAAACTTTTGAAATAGGAGATAAGAAATAGGCTCTGAAAGGCTCACCAGCCTACTTCTTTGTCTGGTTCCCAATTTTGAAAAATTGCATAAAGCCTCACTGTCACTAAATTGAGTATGGATTGGATTTTTAAAAAAAATCCTACACTCTAGGTAACTTATAGGCAAACTCATATGAAATA